TAATACAATCACTTCGCTTCGATGCGATGCAAAACTTTAAATGGGAAAACTATTAATTATAAAATATCCTTTTATAGGCAATAACAGTATGGGATTGTAATTTTCGGAGTTCCCTCCGCAAAAAGTGCAAAATTTTAAATATTTACCATTTTTCGATACTTTTTAGACACCATTTGGCTTTACGTTATCCCTAAAAGATATCCCACATAAACTTAAATAATCGCTTTTAATAGCTGCGTGAACAAGTTGTTAGGTATTAAAATTAATAAGGAAAACAAATCTCTTCCGTCCGTTAAAACGTCGACCGGTTAAACAATTAACACACGCGTTTAATTCGGTTTGATCGTTCACTTGCACGCCATATGCCGCACGCGATGACTTTTTATTACATTATTATACTGGCGATAAAAAACAATAATAATATCACAGCCACATACAAAGTCGGCACGCGTTTAGTTATTTATGATTTGTTTTGTCCAAGATTATCCGGGACCATCAGTATAATAATTATCATGAATAATTCAAAATCAAAATCGCTTCTGCGACGTGAGCAACCATAAAAAACATAATAATATGATTAATATCATAACATGATATGATTTAAAAACAGGGTTAACAGCTATTATAGCGATTCCAGTATAATTTGCATAATATATAATAGTGATCGATTCGATTCATTAGGTATACCTTTATACTTTGTATAAGCACAACCCCGACCTGTAATCAGTCGGTCAATTTAATATTTATTGTCAATTATCAGTGCGTTTCGAGTGGAACTTGCAACGAATTAAACACACTTTACTGTATCCAATTATTCTATAACGCTATTGTAAATCAAAGCAAGTGTGCACTGTGTTGAACGAATCGAATTGTTTATACAACCCCAAATGGAAAAACGGTAGGAGTTTTTTTAACAAAAACCGCCCAATTTATACTGAAATAATAGTACTTATCAATGTTATTTATGCTAAATTTATTATACAAACTACCTTTATCCGGATCCAAGACTAGTCTATTATATTGACACTAGACCAACCCAATCCATAAATAATTTATTAGCTGTACTAGAAAAAATTCAAATTCAAATACCATAATCGTTGCCTAATGATATCAATATCCATCGGGGGTATTTTTTTTATCTAAGTCCACTTAGATATTATAAAAAATCTAACACTTTAAATTTTGTAATTATATAATTTTTGCTTCCTAATGAAGTTGGGCATTGCGAGATAACCTAAAAAAATATTGTTCTGCCCTACCTAAAGAATTGGTCTAATTAGATAGTGTTGGATTTATCTAGCGGATCCAACATAGTCAGACATATTCTATCAATGAGATTTAAAATGTTCACAGGTGCCGTGAACAAAATGAAGTACTTTATATATATAACAAATTAGCATATTAAAATAGGTACAATATTAAATAATATAACATTTTTCTTTTTTAATGTAATATTTTTCTTGTTTAAATATTAGGGGAATCTTCAATTCTATCAATATAATTAATTTTAAGAGTTAGTTGTGATTCAATTGCCAATACATTTATTTCATCAGCGTGTAATGGTTTTTTTTTTTTAAAATAAATTTCACTTAAATATTTTGCCACTCCCCGGGCATGAGCCCACTCGTGCCTCCCCCCCCCTCCTCCTCCTGAAAAGTAAGGAAGTGTGGAAGTCATTAATGGCCGTGCTCACAAGTTTAGCTAATGGTTTTAACAGTGTTAAAATTATAGGTGATAAAATAGTGTAACTGTGTAGTGTTTATTTATGCGTATGAATGCTTTGGACGATTTTAAAATCAAGTTGCTCTTTGTAAAAAAAAAACTGACATTTTTATTTGCCAAACCGAAAAGAAAAAATAACGATAATAATAATAATAATAACAAACGGTTTGCCGTTTGTGTACTTATTGAGACGCGTGTTCGTTGATCGGGTTAATAAGGTTTTGTGCAATGGACCGTGCACCGATTTGCCGGTAAACACATAATGTAATGTTGGATAGGTTGTGATGGTTGTTGTTTTCCTAACGTCCCTTTCTCTCTCTCTCTATCTCTCTCCATAGGTTGTTCGCATGACGGATAATAATGATTTCATTGCGAATTCCACGTACTAGGGTACCCTCGTCGGGACTACTTGAACCGAAAGATTTGAGATTCACAAGACATCGTATAATACTAGCACGTCGTGTAGGGATAAAAAAAAATCTTCAAAAATCGCTTTTGCGTTTTCATCGGCGCACAAATACCGCGTATGTGCGAAAACCAAAATTTTGTTTTGTTTCGTTTAAGCGCTACATTTGCTGAATTACAAAACGACCGAGAAATACGAGATTACCGTACGGGAAATCAGGTCAAATCTGAAAATAAACACCATTACTTAACCTGCCGGCAAACAGTTGCGAGTAGACAACAGAAAAAAAAAACACTATACAACGTTGACGATGTGATCATATTATATTGTGATAATATTGTACACTATACTGGTGTGCATTCGAATGAATCCGACTAATAAAAAATGAAAAAAATGTAAAATATGCTTAGGTGTAAACGGTACCTTATAAAGTAGGTATTTAGAAAATATCATAAGCTGTAATGCATTGACAGCGCTAAATGTAAGGTAATAGTTTAATAAAAAATTTTTAAATCTGGATAAAGATACAACTCGCGTGAAATAACCTTAAAATACAACGTTTTGTAATTATTTATTACTTTTAAGTTGTACCTAAATGGTGTTCGACAAATGATCAAAAATTCTTAAATCATTTCTTTATAGCATAAAATCAAAATTATTGTTATCTCGTAAAACGAAAGATAACTTACAGCTAACGTAACGAATTCAAGCTACATAATAAAATAAAGAATAACGCATTGTGGATTTTATAGCCGTAATTGAAGTCAATAGAAAAACTCATACAAATATTTAATTACAACTTAGTGATTGAAACCATTCGATTGAAAATGTTGAGTTTTTTTATTCGATGTTTAGCTAAATTATTATCAATTCGCACTAAATATTTATAGTTATTTTCTTAGTCTTCTTTAATAAAATGTCACGATCAATTATTGTATTTAGACAATAGACACAGTCAACAAATACAGATATATCATAAATTTGTTAAAAATAAGTATTGTTACTGTATTTCAGAACAAGCATCTGTATAGTATATATTATGCATTACAGTTTTGGATGATATTTTATACAGACCGTATAAAGACTTTGGGATTATGAGAAATAAAAAATAAATTGGATATAATCCGGGACCGGTCGGTCTTCACCGACGACACACTAAGACCTTTTATCTTTTTAATATGCAACGTGGAAATGAAACGAAACTTAAAAAAAAGCCATCTCCCATTCCCGTCGCGTCGTGCTTTTTGACATTTTGCGAACAATAAATTCTTTGTTCAACCCAGTCATCTTTTTATAAAAAAAAAAAGAATGAAATAAAAGTTACCTTTTAAAGCTTGACTGTGGACCGCGAGACGAACCGGATGCGGGTTTTCAACACAATATCAAACGCCTTTTCAAACACCATTTTCACACTAAACCGCACACAATGCCACCGGAAAAGGAAGTTTCTTTCATTTTTATTATACCCGACAAAAAAAAGGTCTATTTCCAAAAGCGACGCAGGTACTTAAACCGATTTGTACTCGAGACGTGTTATTTTTGTTACAATCCAAACGGAAAAGGGCAAAAACCGGCAGTCGCTAAATAGCTTAATGTAAAATGAAGCTCAGCCGTGGACCTGACTGTGGTGTACAAAAAAAAAGTGCGATTGTAGTAAAAAGGACATAATGCTACTTTTTGTTCTTGACTTTGTATTCGTTTATTCATGTGTCGAGAAAGAAACGGATCTTATAGATCACTACTCATACTTGGACACTCTTATGATTAAAACATTTTTACAATAATTGATATATTCCCAAAAAGCCGGTGCGCAAAAATAAGGGAATAAGTCCTAAACACCATTTTGTTTAGAACATCAAATACAAATTTCAAAATAATTAAGCAAAACCAGACACGAGTGTTTCTTTATAAAGTGAACTTAACCTCCGTAACGAGATAGGGTTGTGTTTTTTAAGGGGCCTTATTATGGTTAATGGTGGCGTCGGTCATCAAGCGTGGCACCCACTGCAGGAGTCAGGACAAATCCACCCATGATCATGTAAACCACCACGGCTAATCAGTGTACGAATTGTTGAAAACCTTTGATAATATCTAGATAGTCTCAAGTTAATCATAAGTAAGTCACCCACAATATTCGTCGGTACTAGTAAATAAATTTTAGAAATCTCTAGATATTTTTCGTGATCTATTTAACACGACTTCAAATACCGATGTACCACGCATTTGTAAGAGACAATTTTCCATAAAACAGTGACTCGACTTAATAAGTCTTACACTAATTGATCAAAAGAGAAATTTTGCTTCACGCGCACTCTGGGAATTACTGTTTTCGCATAGTTACACTCGGTCGGATCACTGTTGGAACTATTATCCTACAGTTTTTGAGAGACGAAAAGACTATTCTCTCTCTCTCTCTCTCTCTCTGTCTTATTTTTCACCGACCGTTCTCTTGTGTGTTATGAAATAATGCCAAAACCTAACGAAACCGGAGCGGCCGACCGTCGTAATGGTATTTCTAACGACTATACACCGTCGTCCCTCTTCGTGTGTGCTTGTATGAAGCTGAGACGACCGAGGTAGGGAGACACACACGTCTAAAAATGCACTGTTAAGAGTATCGACGTTCGGATAGGGCGAGCACATTATATTATTATGTTATTATATTATTATATTATTATATACGCTAAGCACACACGGTTTGTCATGCTGCAGCTGTGTGCGCAGTTCTATGCACGTGCCGGCTAATTATTTGCTCTTTTAAAACGTCATCCGGCATAGTCAGGGACTGAACATTCGATTTGATACAAAATATTATTTACAATATTTTTTTTATAATATTTATATTGTTGTAAAGATAATGTTTTCCACTTACCTTCGATTGCAAACGCTTTGGAAAACACTACAACAACATGCTGGCCGTGATTCGATGTTAATAACGGCAATATAATAATAATGGGTATTACAATGCGGCCGTGTTCCTCGTGGACTATTCTCCTCTTGTCGGTTGTGTCGTCGTGTAAAGAAAAAGAAATAAAACACTCGAAAGGTAAAAAAAAAAACCGAAACTCTCGTTCGGAAATATTATTTTTTTTAAGAGAAAATTGTAGCTTTTTTTTTGAAATTTTGGATTAAAAATATGCAAATTAAACGTGTCGAGCGGCAATCACCGCCGGCGGACGCGGTTCGGTGTCGTCTTCGGTCGGTCCGACCGGCGGCCGATCATCGTCGCCTAATCACCCGCCGGTGACGCGAAAAAACGTCGAACGCGAAAATCCGATTGATAAGCGAGCGCGATTGAGCGAGAAAGAGATACCGCAGTGTGCGTGTGTGTGTGAGAGCGGCAGATGAGAAAGCGCGAGAGCGAGAAAGAGAACGCGCGCGCGCGACCGGCTACCGCTGGCGGATGTGATGAGAAACGGGCGGTAAAATGCCGCCGCACAACCGCTGACGTCCGTGCAGCAGCAGCAACAACGGCACGGCCGTAAGAGACAGTAACGCACACACACACACGCACACGGAAAAGCGCACTGGCGATCACTAGCGGCGGCGGCGAGCTTTTTTGGCGCGTTACTGTTACACTACACGGGCAAACTCTCCGGGCCGGTGTCGGCGTGTGCTTATTTTAAGTGTCGGTCCGCCGCCGCCGGCCGAAATGACGTTCTCGGGCCCGCGGCCGCCATCTCTGCCTTATAATAACGACTCCTTCTCGTCCTCCTCCGCCTCCTCCTCCTCCTCCTTCTTGTCATCCGCTTTACATCATCACATCGGTCGTCATCGTGTACCAAACGATGGCTAATGAACCGCAAAATATTTAATTATATACATATTTTATACCTTTTGGCTCCACCGTTTCGCCTGAATGATGCACCGTTATGTCCTGAATGATTTCAGGACATAAGATCTGAAAAATATACTATGATATATGCAATTGTTTCAAAAATTTGTAGTCGACTATATTTTTATCAATCGAACACTAAAGTTTACACTGCAAACACAATAATTTGTAGAAAATTGTGCATTGTTACCACTTACCTGTTAGTACTTTTTAGTATTTTTGTTCATTTTTAATAATTGAATACTCAAGTACAAGGTGGTAACATTAATGTATTATGTATAATTTTTGTATAATTCATTTTGTTTTATCAAATTATAAGTTCCCCGATCGATCGATCAAAATTTTCGGTAGATTATTCGCTATTTAAAACTTAATGACAATTAATATAGTATACAATCAGTTTATTTTTAATTTACAAAATTTGTAATCCTATTGTTTTTTTTATTAAACCCCCAAAGTTAAAAAAAAACCATTATTAACACACTTGTCTAGAAAATGATATATTTACGAACATTTAATAGTTATTATTCTCATGTATAATTTTGTACTGAAGCGTTAACTTGAAAGTGATTGTACTTCCAGACTTCAGTTATAAAAAGAAGTCCAACATTAGGACCTAATCCCACTGTGCTGTATTTATTCTTAGTAATTAGGTATTGTTCAAATAAACATAGTCACAAACTCAATAAAAAAGCTAGCCTGACTAATTTTTAATTTGTAACATTTTGCACGGAAAAATAGTTTAATAATTGCATTGACTAAAATTTAGTTGAATAAATGAAAACCACTTATTTTTTAGTTGACTAAATTTATTTTTCAATCGAAAATAGTGACACAAAATACTTAAAATATTTTATTTTATTTAGTAGCTCAGTAATTAAGTCATCTAAAACATTTGCCACTATTTTTCAGCGCAAAATTGTTCAAAATTGGCTTAAAGATTTCTTTCAAGACATTTTAAACTGGTCTTAAAATCAATACATAAATTTGTATTTTTAATATTACAAAAAAAGAAAATTCTTAATACCATTTAAACAACTAAGGGTCACTATTTGGCCGGCGTGTTCTTGTGGCGCTTGGTCGATGGTTGCGATTTGATGACGCGTCTGTTCGTTTCGTCACCGACAAAGAAGTATATAAACTCAAGCCACCGTGCATGCCTTACTTGCTGTACTATAGAAGAAACGATAATATTGCTGCACTATCCGCGTTTGACAACAAAAGCCTATAGAATGTGTACTCTATTGTATACATGATATAATATGTGGTATGTATTTTTCCCGACCTACGTATAACTAGAGTAAATAAATTTAATTAATATTTTTTTTATACTTATTATTAATTTTTGGAAAAGAATACCGAGTAGACAAATATCCGACCACAATAATATCCTGCAAATATAGTAGACACAACACAGCAAAATATGAACTCAATGGCAATACATCTGCTAATAAAATTATAATTGAAGTAAACAAAATAGTAAACATGAAAACAGGCGTACAATTTAAAGCAGCGGTGATGAATATACCCCTAACGGTAAGACAAAAGAGGCGTGTCAACTTAAAATATTTTTTAAGAAAACAAGCTATTTGCGCAAAAAACCGCATATTAAGAGATATTTATATATAAGTGTATAATATTATTAAGATTATTATTATTAAATTATTATTTATGTTTGTTTCAGGGCAAAAAAACGTTTAATCTCAGACGGTCATCATCCTAATAAGAACAACCGTAAAATAATTGGGGAAACGGCAGCGTGGTGCTGGATAGGATTTGTCTTTATTATAATTTTCTGGATAGCTCATAAATTGTATTATAAAAAAATAAAATTTCTCCAAAAAAAGGTTTGTTTATTAATCATGCCATATTTATAACTAAAATATAAGTTAAATAAATTACTTTTTTTAAAATAGTATAATTTTATTTTACATTACAGAATACATATTTTTCATCAGGTTCAGCACAACAATCGTATTTATTGAATTCGTTATTTAATACAAATTTGTCATTTGATCGAAATTCCGATTTAAAAGAATTTTCCTTTGTTCATCACTTAAATAAATATATTGGTGAGTATTCCTAAGTAGTATTTTTACAAAAGTTAGTAGCTTGCCCCTGTGAACTTTTTATAGAAACAATTCTTTTAGAAAATACGCCCGCATTTTCAATGGATTATTTGTCTACTCAAATTTATCATCCACAGCAACAAAGCTAAGATGATAATGATGAAATTTCAAATTTTGTGTAAGTAATAATAATAATAAGTGGCTTTATTTTCCATTTTTCTATGATTTGATGGGTTGTATGAATATTGATTGTGCGGAAACATGTGTCGGTGCTTGAGGTTACTGTTCAATTTTTAGCTAACCTTAACATTGTTCACTCCTAGCATTAGGTCTCTGGTGTAATCGGACCATAATAATTATGAATTACCGAAACCTATGGCCATCGTTTCTACTCCTGGTACAGTGCAAAACATTTCTCGCGGTATTCAGAGACTACATGTGCTGTCAATCGATTGCACGTACCCGTTTCCCCACTAGGATCGACTACTAGTAGACTCCGGGTAGTGTTTTATTTATATTTTTTTCTCTCTTTACATGGAATTAAACACAGGGTTATTTTATATTTGTTTGTTTTTTTTCTTTTTAAAAGTACTGTCAAATTTATTTTATCCCAGTGGTCAGGGGAGAAAGAATATTTTGCTCCCCCGCCATTTTGCTCATGACGATAAAAAAAAATTTAGGTAGAATTTGATTCTGATAACTCAACCCCTTCACGTGCCTCAAAGGGGTTGAAAATGGCCAAATAGGATAGTTTATGGTTTTTCGAGTTTAAGTAAAAAACTATTGCATTTAGCGTAAAATGTTTTATTATCTTTATGATAGATCAATTAATTCTCTATAAACAATGTTTCTACACATTTTTCCCCAAAAGTGCATGATTATCCAAGAAGGAAAAAAAAACATTTTTTCATTTATTTTAGAAAATAATTTTTTTTGCAATTTTCGAAATTTTTATATTTCGATTATATCGATACTAGATAATTGAGGTATCCTTCTTTATCGCAGTTTACAGCCAGTTTGAATATGCAATTTCCTGTCAAAATCATTGCGTTATTCTGCTGAAAATAATGGTCGTAGTACTGCTGCCCTCTATCCTTTACGAATAAGCAATTACTTCATCTAATCACCCACATTTACTTATAGATCACTAAAAATAATATAAAAATCATCGTTTTTCCTATGAAAAATGTAATTACAATTCCAGGTGTTTTGTCTTTTGCGGTTGTAATAATTTCCTAGTCGATTTTTATTTATAAATATCATTATAAATATAAATGAAAAACTATAGTTTACTTAACAGCTACTAAAACTTAACAGTTAATTCGTAACCTTTCGTTTCAACAGTATTTATTTAAGGTATCAAAATGTCACCACAATCAACGAAAAAACGAAAATTAAAATGGACGTATGAAGAAGCAGATTCGTCGTCACTTAATGGAAGTAAAATTATTAAATTTGAAAACGAAATTTGAAAACGAAAAGTTGAAACAAGAAAATGTACAACTCAAAGAAAATATAAAGAAAAAAATGGATACTCCATACATACGTTCTAATACTATTGCAAAAGAGATGGAAGGGTATTAAAAAAATATGCAAACATTAACTTCCCAATTGGTTGAGAACTGTCTGAACACAGAACAAAACGCCCAAATGGCAGAATTCGATTCCGATGTAGAGAATTGCTACATGTTGCTAGAAGATCATCAACAATCAGCTAATGAACAACCGTCTTACAAATTCTAAGAATATTTATAAATTTAGTATCTACAAAATTAGCATATTTGTGTACAATAGCAGTTCTACGCCTAAACCGTTTACATAGTACAATATGAAGAAATTGATTCGGAATTTAAAATGTTGAGGTGAGCACTGCTTGTATTGTTATATAACGTCAAAGCTCTAAACTAACTGCTAGTCGTCAATAAACCATACTGTATGATATATTTTTCGTTTTTCATTGCGATCTTACCATTTACAAGACGTTTTGTGTTCTCTGTCTGTATTGAGTATGTACACGTTAAATTCTTAACGTTATGTATTTCTAGTAAATTACTAATTAGCCCTGATGACTGAGTAGAACAAAAAGGTTTTTGTAAATAATAGTTTCAATTATGTACACTTCAAATGTCGTCAATTTAATTAAATTTATTATATAATACATAAGTTAGTTAAGTGTATTTCGATTATTGTCCATCCTTGAATAGTGAATACATACTATAGCTTAACAATATGCAGACATGGAGTTATCTCACAAAATGTGGTGTGTATGAGAATTGTTTCCAAAGCCGCATTGCAGGCAACCATGTTTTACACCGTGTTTCGCCACAATGGCAAAAGTTTTGCACTAAAGGGAAAAGTAGGTACCTTACATTTCTGCGAATAGCAAAGCGAAATTCCTTAATCTAATAAATGTTTATGCGAATAGTAGAGGCAATGTTAGCTACAAAAGAAAAAAAGGACTACAAAGGTATACCAGGAAGTTATTTTCGAGGAGTTAAACAACGGGACGAAAAAGGAAAGTTTTCCTATTAGATCGAATTAAATATGGTCGTGCTCATGTTATAAAGTATATACCTATTTTTGTGGTTCGCACTTTGAAAACTATAAGAAAACGTGAGAGAACACACACACGGCCCGAACGTTGAGCTAACTTGAAAATTGGCTATTTCGAAAAACAAGAGGGAAATGAAATAAGGAAGTTCAAATGGGATAATATAAAAGCACC